ATAGTTAGGGGTGGGGGGTATTAAATTGCCCGAAAATTGGATATTTAGGGAAACCGACTGTGGGAATGAAAATGGACTGACTTCTTTATCCCATATGTGTCATTTTCCATCTCTTTTTCCCAGTTTTTTTTCTCCTCCCTAGAGGCCGGCCACTCATGGGTACCATACATGTTTTTCTGCACTCTTATTTCCAGACTTTAATGGAACATGTGACACATGGGCGGAGGAAGGCGTGTCTTTAATTTATCTGGCAGATGCAGACCTCTGCAACATCTCAGCCCATATCACTACCCTCACCTCTCTATCCAAAGAGCCCTGAAGGAGATGTCGGCTCTCACAGAAACATTAGCACCCCAATTCCTCCCACAAATTCTTTCCTTTTCTTTCGAACCCAAATGATAGGATTATCTGAAGCCCTTTGGCACACATGCTGATGAGATTTTGGCAGTTTTGCAGCAGTTCACCTTCCAGGCTTCCCCACTTCCCATAAACCCGTTGGCTGCTGAGGGACGACATGCTGTAGGTTTCAATCTGCTCTTTATCCTGCAGGGAATAACCCTCTGTTAACACACCGGAGAAGGCCAAGCACAGAGAGATCCTGGGATTTACTCCCAATGCGCAGGCCCACAGCTTTCTGTAGAATTTGAAAATCCATGCTTTTTTTAATTAAGTATTTTGTTTAACCAATGTTATTGTGGCATTCATGGTTACATTTAACTAGGGATGCACCGATACCGATACTGGTATCAGTATCGGGCCCGATACTGAGCTCCTGTACTCGTACTCGTTAAAATGCCCCGATACCAAACGCCGATACCACACAGCATGTGATAAGTGCCATATTCAGACAAAGAAACACCGACAACAGACAGTATCGGCAAGTACCAAAAATAAAAGTATCGGTATCGGGCGAGTACTGGAAAAAGTGGTATCAGTGCATCCCTACATTTAACACATTTTATCATGTCACTATCATGACTCTTCAAAATTTATATGGAATTCTTGTTTGTCATTACTGTACAAGTGTGTGCAGATTTCACAAAGAGGATGGAAGTACCGTCTGATTTTGTTTATAATGATGGTGATGATGATGATATTTCCAGATGTGCATGGCATGCTTCTCCTTCAGCCAAATAGCAGCAGACATCTGCAGGAATCCAGAGGAAGGGATGAGAAAGAGTGTAGGAAAGGGAGAGAGAGAGAGAGATGACAGAGGCAAGAGTAGGAGGATGAACGCTGAGGCAATGACAAGGCAGTGTGACTCAGAGTCAGCTAGAACTGTTTCATGCTCATCTGGCTTTACGCATAAACACAGTGGGTCTCAATCCATTACAGTCTATACGGTAGGGCTGCACAATTAATCGAATTTCTAATCGCGATTACATTTATGGATGCCACAATTACGTAATCGTTCAAAGCGGCAATTAATCGTTCAAAGTCCACTTATGTTATTCTGCGTGCTTAAGATGCGTTTTTCTTTCTACGTTATCTTAAGGGTTTTTCCCATTATTTTAATTTTAGTTTTAGTATATCATTATAATACCATTCATATTTGTACTTTTTTATCATTTAAAGAAGAAACCAATCCGATGTATAGTTGACATTTGAGGCTTAATACTAA